TGTCATAATATGACTCTACATATTTTGGGTATTTCTCTTCTTTTTGCTGCTTTAACATATAACTGTTAATTAATCGTTCTTTAGCAGCAAGAGATTGCAGTTTACATCCCAATTGATTTTTACTAATTTTTAGTGATTCACTATTCATGTTAATTCTATTGTGAATCTTCTCTTTCAATATGGAGGTAAATACTTTCATTATTACATTTATACAACTGATAGGATGATAATTAGTGACATCGTTCATATCACCTCCTTTGTTGATTAATATAGTTCTTCCACTTACCATGTCTAGAGGGATGTTTTCATTGAAGTTTAACCAATCATTGAAGATATTAAGAATGGACTCTCTTGATGATGACATTCTCTTCCAATAATACCCATATATAGTGTCAATACCTGGTGCTTTCCAATTACTTATTTTCATCATTCTTAGATTTAAATCATCCAATGTGATGATGACACTATCATAATTCCTGTATCTTTCATTCCACGAGGTGATTTGTTTTATTTTCCAATGTTCCTTATTTAATATCACCTGTGTTTCATATAACGATTTCCAATATTCTAAAGTAATATCGTTATTTGGGTATATTTCATTTTGTGTTTCTTCTTTATTTTGATTTTTTTATTAGAATCAAACATGATTTTATTTGTATTGATTCTGACCCTTTCATTCTTATTAAATTTAATTCTTTCTTTAATCATTATCATCATATATTTTAGGTACTTTATTCTTTCTTGTGCTTTGATTTTAATTTCATCTGCATCTTGTTCCTTTAATCTCATGATGCATTTTATTCTGTACCATTCCCTTGACTAGATCTTCTAGTCTATTTATTTTCCTTAGGATTTCTTTTACTTCATCAAATTTATCTCATTTAAATTTATTTTAGAGATAGTAATGCATACACATTGAAATCCTTTTCATATCTTCTTGCAGATTTTCTATTCTGCTTCCTGACCATACCCATTTATTATTTATTTCTCTTATTAATTTATCTGATTCTTTCCTTTTCCAGTAGTAATTAATATTTACACATTTATCTATTTTCATTTCTTTAACTTGAGTGATGATAGAGTTAAGATATTCATCATCAATATCAGTAGAGTTATTTTTTATGATAATGTTTTTTATTATTGGGTTACACTCTACTTTCCCTTCTATGATGGAGTTCACTTTCATTTTAATATATCTTTTAGTTGTTTCTTTTATTTTATGTGACTTTTTAATATTATTAATGTATTCCTTCTCATTATTTACATTAATGTTTACTACTTTTATTATGCTTTCTATTTGTTCCCATCTTAATTTCTTATTTAATTTCTTATTTAACCAATTAATTGCAAAACAATACAACACATCAATTAAAATTCTATTTGTTTGATTTGTTGTGTTTTCTTTTCTTCTTGACTGATTATCATTTCTTGTTTTTTGACACTCAGTGTTTTGCTCCCTTCTTCTTCTATTTCCAGAATTGTCTTTTTCATAGGGGTAGTTTGGTTCATTTGTATTGTCCCAGATGATGATGTTCTCAGTATTGGTTGTGTATTTATCACTAGAGTCATTGTTTTCTTCTTCTTCAGTTCCTTCTGGGATAAAAAATTTTCGATACTTTCTTGTTGGTTTGATATTAATTGTTTTTGTTCTTCATTTTCTCTTTGTGTATGGTCTAGTTCTTTTCTTGTTATTTCTGCAATCTCATAGTTTTCAATCCCACTTTTTTGATATACAGAGATTTGATTTCTTTATCTCTTATGTTCTTTTCTAGCAGCACAGCACTCTTCTCCAGCTCATCAGCCTTCTTCTTCTCCAGCTCATCAGCTCTCTTCTTCTCCAGCTCATCAGCCCTCTTCTTCTCCAGCTTAGCACTCTTCTCCAGCGCATCAGCCTTCTTCTTCTCCAGCTCAGCTCCCTTAAGGACTTCGTCCTTCTCTTTCTTCAGCCTCTCATAGCTAGCTCGGAGGGTTCGGATGATTTCATCCTTACCTCCTAATTCTATGTTCCTTCTACCATTTGCTTCATTTATTTTTCCTTGTAATGTATTATTTTCCTCTTTTAATTTAGAGTTTTCTTTTCTTATTTCATTACATGTGTTTTGAACATTGTTTATTTGTGTTTGAATCTTTTTTATTTCTTCTTCAATCTCTTTCCTGACTGTTTCTCGTGTTTTGAATCATTTCATCTGAAATGGTTCGTTCTTCTTCCATCTTTTTTGTTTGGAGTTCTTTGATAGTTTCTTCTAATTCTTTAATTTTATTTTGAAGTGTGTTGATTTCTTCTTTGTTGCCTTCTTCTTCCATCCTCTCTTCTTTATCTTGTGTTTTCCTTTTATTTTCTTTTTCATTTATTATTCTTGCATATTTACATCTATCGTTCATTTCTTTGATTGGATTTTTGTTTTTGATTTCTTCTTCAATTGTTTTAATGTCTTCACTTTTCCATTCTTTTGTTTTATCTTTGAATTCTTCTTTGATTTTCTCTAGTGTTTTCTTCTTTCTTATTGAATATACTTCTTGGAGAATATTATACCATTTCTTTACCTTCATACTTTTTAAGTAATTCTGAATATTCTCCTTTTTCCCATTTTCTTGTTATTCTTTTAATTTTCTTTTGAATTTCTTTTGTTGTTAACCATTTAGGTTTCTTATATGTATAATGTTTATTATCATTATATTTGCGTTGTTTTTTATTTGTTTTTCTTTGTGTTCTTCTTTTTCTAAACCCTTTTTTCCTGTTATTTCTTTTATCATAATTATTATTCATTTTATTGCTATTGAAGTTCTTTCTTTTCTTTGAACTTGAATACCTGTGTCTTGTTTGATTTTCTTTACAAGACCCTATGGTATTACTCAATAGCCACAGTAACAAAATTTGTTGTATATTCTGCGTTGATAAAAGGATCTCCTTATCACATACAAATTTAAATAAATAATGTGAAAATATTTAAAAAAACAAAATGAATAATCATATTTAATCGTCATTTATTTCATTATGAATAAATTAAAGTAAATAAATTCAAATATTTTATGTTAAAATATATAAAAATACAATATTTTTAATAAAATGGATTGATTTAATATTTAATGAATATAAGTTAAATTAAAAATAATAAATTAATTAAATACAAATAATAAATAGGATAACAAATGAAAATAAATAATTTAATGATATGTTAATAAAATTACATTTATTTCAAAAAATAAAACAATAATATTCAAATATTAAATTGTTTGATATTCATTAATACTTTTATTTAAAACAACAATGAAATACAAATACTATTTATTATTATATTTTATAATTAAATTATAATATATTTAATAATTCAATTTCATTCTTTTCAACAAAATTTAATTTAAAAATGAAATACAAAATATATAATTAATTCAATTATATTAATTAATAAGAAGATAATGTTCAACATAATAAATTAATCAAATGAAATCATTTTCATTTAAATAATTCATAATGAATAACTTCTCTTTCATTTATTTTTATTATTCTTTATTTATTTGTTTCATATTTTATATTCCATTTTATTTATTTTTTATTTTATTTTATTCATATTTAATTTATATTTATTATTTTAATGTTTTCTTGTTCATTATTTAATTTTATTCATATTTAATATTTCTATTATTTATTTTATTTCATTTTATGATATTATATTATTATAATATTCAACTGATTATGAATATAAATAAATTGAATATTATTATTTTCATTTATTCTATTATTTATTAAATTTATTCATTTCTTCTTTATTTTCTATTTTATTCATTTTATTTTTTATTCATTTATAAACATATTTTATTTATTCATTTATTTTAAATATTTTATTTTATAATTTATTATTTCTTTATTTCTATTGAAAATGAAGTTGTTGTATTATTTAATACAATTACAATATATGTATTTCTTTTTATTCTTTTATTCATTAATTTGATTTATTTTCTTTATCATATTCTTATTCATTCAAAATAACAAATATCTACAATGTCTACATTATTTATATCATTTTATATATAAAATAAAATATATCTTATTTGAATAAATTCAATTTATTAATTATTTCATTATTATTCATTTCATTATTATTCATTATACTTTTATAAATAATTTTATTGTTTTATTTCATGTGAAATCATTATAAATATATCAGATATTTTAATTTCATTTAAATACATTATAAATATTATAAATAATATGATAAAATAAATAGAAAATGAAATATAAATAATAAAAATACAATAATATCAATCTTATTAATCTAATTGAAATTATATTTTTTCAATCAATAAATAAAATTGTAAATTAATATTTTCTTTTTAATTTCATCAATCAATTTGAAATAAATTATAATATTAATACATAATTTATAATATTAAACATATATTTATCATCTAATTTATATAAAATATATTTCAAAACAATTTTAAATAATAATTTCATTTCATTATTCTTATCTTCTTTATTTCTTTTCTATTTTATTTAAATGAAAATAAAATATAAAAATAATAATAAATAAAATGATATTAATAATTCAAATCAAAATAACAATTGAATAATTTCAATATTTCTCATAAATATCAATAATAAATTAATATATTATTTTCATTATAATTAATTATATATTTTATTCAATATTTTATCATTAATTACAAATAACAAAACAAAATAATATGAATATAGAAACAATATAAATAAAATAAATAACAGAATAAATAATCAAAAAAGAAATAAAGAAAGAAATAAAATAAAAATAATAGAAAAGAAGAATATAAAGAAAAACAAAGAATAAAAAGAATAAATAAAAGAAAGAATAATAAAATAAAAGAATATAAATAAAGAATAAATAAAATAAATAAGAAATATGATAATAAATAATAAAAATAATGTAAATTCATTATTAAAATTATATTGATAATTTAATTTAAATATTTATTTATTTCTTTTATTATAAAATGATTTTCTTTTTATTAAAAATTCAATCAATTTATTTTCTTGAAACAAATGATTTAGCAATATCTCTAACATTTTCTTGTTTACTTTCATCTCCATATTTTATTTCAAATTCTAAATATTTAGTTAAGAATGTTTTCATTGTTTTAGTACTTAATTTTTGTTTAACTATTCTTTCAAATATTCTTCGTATTACTCCTACTTCTCCTACTTCTTTCTCCATATCAATATAAATATTCCAAACATCATGTCGTTTTGGATTATTTGTTAAAATATCTTCAAACATTGATCTTCCTTTATCAACTGATCCATATTTATATTCTAATCGTGCAATATGAATTTCTAAACTTATCATTTTCTTTTTATCTAATGTTGTTTTTGCTTTACTTATTGTATTCTTATTTTCTTCTTCTCTATTATTTCTCATTATGAAATTACAATATTTCTTATATACTTTACAACTTCCTTTAACTTTCTTAAATATTATTCTGTTTATTTTCTCTTCTTCTTCTTTCTTTTCTTTATAAATATGAATCATATGAAGCATAATCTTCTTCCTATCACATACTTCTAATGCTTCATTATATACTTTCTTTAAACTCTTTTCATCTCCATGATTAGCTTCTAATTGGATTAATGCTTTCTAAATGTTTAATTTCTCTTCTAATTTCATAAATTTGATAGTTTCTATTGCTGTTTTTCATACTTTTCTTGTTTCATCTATTTCTTTTCTTTGAATGAAACATTGTATTAATTTTATCAATTCTATTGAATTATCTGGTTCTTTTTCAACTCCTTTTTGACATTCATCTATTTCTAATTTAATTTCTTCATTTTCTTCTTTAATCTCTTATTTTACATTAAAAACATTTGTTTAATTGATTAATTATTTCATTTGATTTCATCTTAGTTCAATATTGTATTTTCTTTCTATTTTATTCTGTTTTACTTCTTCTCTTATTCTTTTATTCTTTCTCATCTCTTCTTCATTTCTTCTCATTACGAATGATAATTCATTAATTGATAATGTACTAATTGATATTAATGATGAACATTGATAAAAATAATCATTTGTAGTTCATTAATTGATGATTGAATAATAATTTATTTCTATTCATTTAATATATGTAAACATTTGTTTTATTTTATTCATATTATTGTTGAATATTATTACAATTAATGATTTCATTCATTTAAATCATTCAATCATATTATATCAAATGATAATTGAAAAGTGAA